GGGAATGTTTTAACTTTGTTCTGTTTTAAATATTGTTGTACCCTGCCCTGATTGTTATGCAGAGGGGCGGGCTATAAATAAAAATTTATTATTATTATATTATTATTATTTTCCCATTCCCCTTCCCCTTCCCACATATAACAATCAGTGTCTTCCAGTGCTATATACAGGGCTAGACAAAGGGCAAAATAGTGTCTACACATTCCATGCACAGAAGCTAGCTGGAGTGTCATTCAAACTTTACTTTAAGACTGGAAATGTGACTGTATTCCATAGCAGTTCCACTTCACTCAAGGGCACCATAATATTTTAGGGGATAAGGACAGGTTCTTTGAGACACAGTACTCTGTCTTCCAGGAGAAGGAAATGACAAGAGAGCTCAGGAGAAATAAGTAGAGAACCCCCAATTCTGCCAAAAGCATTTGCCATCTGAGGCATTTACCTCACCCTGCCTATGGTAGGTCCAGCCATGGCTTTATAACACTTGAGCTCTTTATAATTATGGAGGTGTCTATGGTGAGCCAGTGTGGTATAGTGGTTTGGGCACTGGACTATGAAGCTAGAGACCAGGGTTCAAACTCCTGCTCAGTCATGGATATCCACTGGGTGTCCTTGAAAGTCTTAGAAGATGACAAAGGCAAACCACCTCTAAACAAACCTTGCCAAGAAACCCCCATGATAGGTTCACCTTAGAGTCACCATAAGTTGAAAATGACTTCAAGGTACACAACAACAACAGTAAGGTGTGTGTAATGGAGGGAGAGGGGGCATGTGTGTATGTAGTTTCCCTGCAAAGTTCAAGGAAGCGAGTTCTCTAATTCCCCTACACATACTAGGCCCTAATTCTTCTCCTCGAGGATACTATAAGCTATTTGGAGCTTGCACAAATCTCTCCTTTTTTCCCTTCCTTCCAAAGATGATATTGCTGCCAGCATTTGGTGGTTTTGTAAGGCCATCAATAATGCTCAAATTAGTCTTAAGCAAAGATATATTTACAATTTGAATCAACACTTAGGACCTTATCACACCCTGGCCACGAAGCGAAAAGTAACCA